AGCTATGGCCGCCAGTGAATACTCCCTATTGTTTTTATAATCTCGATCCCCACCAAGACGCTCTTCGTCTATCAAAAGTTTCGAAGCCTCTAAGCCTCGAAAGGGTAGCTATGGCGAATCATCGCACACATGCAGCGGAGACATGAAGGCACCCTACAGCGGAGCGCTACAAGCATAGCGCTGACCTCGCGCTAAGCGCGTGCTGACGGGAGCGTTCACCAGCTTTGTATCGCACCGTCAAAACTTTTGCTCATGGCAGCCGATAAGCAGCTGACGACACCTGAGCAGCGCTACACCAGCGCTTCGCTGCATGTGAGAACCGGCCTTTACTCACCAATATAAGCGTCGTTGACTCTGGGCATGCAATCAACTTAACGATCATGTTGAACTCCCCAGATCTCTTACAATGACATTGTTCTTTTTGCGTATTTAAAGACAGGAAAGGTAATTTTCAATGCCTACAAACACCGATGCCGCATGTGGTGGCGGTACAAAAATGTGCCCTTGTTTCGCCAGTGTGTGTAGAGCAAAATCTCGGTATACGAGAAACGTCTTTTTAAAGCTACCCTTCGCCAGCGATTTTGGATCGGCTTTCCATGAATGGAGAGGTTGAGGAGAATTGCTCAGTTCATGAACCAAAATGGCGAGCATTCGTGGAGCTCGGCGCTACTTTCCCAGGACCCAGTTGCTTTAACCGTTACAACGGTTAAACCAGCTGAACTACGAAATTAGGGAGAAGGGAGTAAAGACAAGTGATCGCTGGACTACCAACTATCGTAGTTCAGCTGGTTTAACCGTTGTAATATGTACCACCAACTAGCTCAGCTTCTACCCCCTGTTAGCTTTAACCGTCTACGCAGAATGCATCCACCGCTCAATAGACCTTTCCAGCGGCAGTCTCGATCGAAGCAATTTACACCGCGCGTCCCTGGTTTTGAGAGGATACGTCAGTGTTGCCCGACTGTGCTGGGCTGTGGATTTTCTGGTCAGTCGGCTGTGGCAGCCTGCGTAGGCGCCCTTCCGGACGCTGGTGGCGGCTAAATTTCCCAGTTTTATTTCCCTTTCGTGCTCTGTGTTGAATAGAATTTCTCGAGTTTCTTAAGAAAACATTGTATTAACTTTGGGATCAAAAACAAATCAATGAAAGACATTTTTGGTGAGTCAGTCGGTCGTGTCAATCTACAAAGGTCTTGACTTTCTCAAATATTTGACCTCACAAAATAGCCGAAATGCGTGGGTATTCCCACCTCCCAACACGAAATTCAACGAGTCTCATCAATCGAACAACGTATATTGTACGTACTCCACAGTACCACGTTAACCAAACAGGATTTGAGAAAGGTCTAAAAAAACACAGCATATCCGATATACAGTGTCGACGACAGTCTCTTCACAACGATCAGATGGAATCCGGCTTATTTTAAAGCACGTTTTAAGAAAAGCTGTTGTTTTTATGTGTGTGTGTGTGTGTTTTTTTTCACAGTACCGAAGCAAATGAACGAACGAGTCTAACCTGTCCCCGTATACCCTGTACCCGACCCTACCATCTGTTTTTGTGAAGACCGGGAACATAGCAGGGAAGGCTTTTCGGAAATTATCTCGAAGGAATTAAACCTTAAAGAATGTCGAACGGCCTCTGCAAGTGGCAGCTCCTTGATGTCCGCTTTCTTCGTTCGTTTCCTGCGAAGGCCAAACAGGCCTTCGCAGGAAGGCTTGCTCTGGTATTTCCTAGTTCCTAGGAAGGCCTGGTATTTCCTTGTTCTCAGAGTGGAAGGTAACACGGAAAGGCTAAGAATCCTGAAGGGGCAAATTAATTGTAATAATCTTTCAAGAAAAGCCGGCGAATTCTGAATGCACGATGCAGGTGGGGAGTCGCGCCGATCGGGTTTCCACAGCTCAGGCGGGTGGCAGAAATTTCTGGCTGATAGGGGTCGTCCTAGTCGCAAAATGGCGGCATCCGGAGGTCTGGTTTTGTAAAGGTCTATACTTCCAGAAGTCTAACGAACAACACTGGCGGTGGCCATATCTCCCTGCGCGAAACGTATGATGGGAGTCTACGCCGAGTGCTTACGCAGCACTCGTGTCGAATGGATTAGGGTATACTCGTGTCCTGTGCGTTCTCAAAGTTCGTGGGTAGACTATGGCGTCCTCTGCTACGAGGGCGCGCACTTATCAGAAGGCTCTATTCAAAGGGGTAGGGCGAGGGTGAGACGGGCCGGGGAGGATGAAGCAGACGGAACGCTAGCGAAAAGAGGTAAAATCCTCCTCCTCTCTTCAGCGTTCCGTCTGCTTCCTCCTCCCCGGCCCGTCTTACCCTCGCCCTACCTTCTTGAGTTGCAACGGCAGAAACCCGCGCATAGCGCGCTCGCTTTGAGGGGGATCGCGATCGAATCCCGACGAGCTTGCGGAAGTCCTCGGAATCCTGTCGAGGGGAGAGAAATGGTGCGAAGAGGAAGCGCCGAGCGTCCGTAAAATCTGGGCTAGGAAGCGGGCCTCCCTGAAAGCGGGAAACAAAAAAGAACATCCAGACTGATAACATCTGCAGGATAGAGCCTTAAAGAAACAGCGAGTACGATTTGCCGGGCGTCTTCCCTCTCAAATGCTCGTCTTTCTTCTCCCCCTATTTTCTTTCCACCTCATCTAGGGCGGTTTAACGTGGCGTAATTCCGGCTCGAAATCTCAGCTTTCTTTCGTACGTATTTTTACGCGCGGAGGCAGAGTTTTACAGGTCGCTCCAGCTCTTTCGCGTCCTAATTGACTGCCAGAAAAGTGAGAAACGTAAAAGAACGTCGGCTGGTCTGAGGTTCTTATACATACCGGTCTTGATTGGGACTTCCGACGGGCCGGCAATCGAGAAGTCGAGCCGTCGACGGCCGAAATGGCCTTGCCGCCGAGGCGACTTGGAAAGAACAAACAGCGGAGTAAACGGGAGCGGCTCAAATACGTCCTCGGTGGTATTGGCGACGTGCGCGATCGAAAGCGTCGCCGTGATCGGCCTTCCATGATTGGCCGAATGCTGACTATGACGTCAGCAAAGGATTTTTCATCAGCGGAAACAAAAGCAATGTAAAAACTTCATTTTTGACGGTGTTGGCAGTGTTACTTTAAGAGCGCAATAATTTCAAGCTTCCACCATGCTTATTACGAACACCGTTGAACTTGTTGTTCGAAAGGTAATGACGTCACGAGAGGGAACCATAGGAGGGCGCCAGCCCCCCCTTTCAAAACATGTCGCCGCTAATACTATACTGAGATCTGTCGTAGCTCCTTCTTATGCTTGAGCGCGACACTGAAAATGACGGCCCGAATGCAAACTAATGGGCGCTGGTTCATAGTTCCGAGGGTGAAAACGCTAAAAAAACAACGGACAAGAGAAAGAAACGAACAACACAGTGTTTTTCGGATGGGGATGCGAGTTCCTCTGTGGTTTTTCGTTTCTTTCACTTGTAGCTTTTTTTTTTTTTTTTAAGCGCTTTTAACCCTTGGATCTATGATTCAGCAGCTAGCCCAAGTGCATACCATTCTGCTGGTTCATCAACGTGACGAAATTAAAAAGGCGACTTATGGTGGTATGACATCGTGTTATCACTTGGCAGCCATTGAGGAATTCGAAGCCTGAATATGTTCTCTCGGGATGAAACGCCTCAGTTCAAAATTCAGCGGCGTTCTCCTATACGAGCTACTGAACCTCGCAAGTCGAGCGGGATTATCTGCCTCGCAGAAATCCTTGTTACCTAGGGTCTGTTGTTATCGCGCACACGCATCGCGTCTATCGGTTGCTATCCCGTCACTCGTTTCATGCAGCTACGCCTCCAACAAAGAGCGAAAAAGAACTCGGGTGCAAAATACCATATCGCCCATTTTTGGGAAAAAAACTCGGTCCGAAAATTTATTTTACTCCAACCCGCATAGAACGCGAACACGCACATCTAACGGCGGTAATTAACATTAGACGCCGTTCTTTCAACGTATTCTTAGTACAACGGAGCAACTCGCATCCGCATTACAAAATAGAACGGTAAGGTAACCGGAAATGCGCACCGGATCGTGCTCATTCCTTTTCTCGTATTTTGTTCTCTCGTGTTTCGTGGTGACTTCACTAACACACTTTTCTTGCCTCGTTGCGTGACTATCTGTTTTCTTCTTTGCTTTCGTAGTCTGCTGAGCGGTTCGTAAGAGACGTCTGATCGAAGATTATCCGTGCATATTTATGCGTATACAAATTGCGGTTGTATATTTAGACGCCGAAAACCAGTTTTCGATTCGAGCAATATGCAACTTTGTGTTCTCCGCGATGTAACGCGAAGATGTCCTATTTCCTCGTAGCACGCCACGATTTCTGCGAAAGACCGTTGACAGTGTTATGAACCTGCAGGTGAATGATTGAGTCACCGAAGATTCCTAGCTCTCAGAGTGTTTCAAACCCCACGACTAACGCTCGTCGTTCGCCACTAAGAGAACGATGGCATTGAAGCGATATAAATAAAAAACGAGGATGTCTGATCTAGTTCTGGTATATATTACGCAATGTTGTAGTCCTCTTGATATGTCTTCAAATATATATCAATAATTATTAAATATAAATATAATTTAGACATCAACACGCTCAACCACTACGTTGTACTTTTCTTCGCTCATTTTCTGCCGGAAACGGTCGACCATTCAGAGTCAATCCCCAATAATGACAGGCTAGCGGAGCGATCCAGTTCGATTATAAGAGATTTCAATCGAAACGTCGTTCGTATGTTGTGTGCCGTGCAAAGAGAAAGGACGCCATTTAGATTTAGCTTGCATTGCAAAAGATAGTGAATAATACGCAGATGCAATTACTGCCCATAAATCCACCTTGCGTAATTGTATAGACAATGCGGATTTTGATAGATTTCATTAAATTAGCCCAGTACACATCGATAGATAAATCAAAGTAAGGTATATTATCACTTCTAGAAGACTAGCCCGATACTCAATCTTTCCGGTTTGTTTTTTTCTGGTTTCCGCAGACCTTGGTCTTTCTGGACGAAGCCATGCTGAAGCTGCTGCTCAACCACTGGCAAGAGTCGTACAGCAAGAGTCCCGCCAGGGTGACCAGCGAGGACCCGCTGCTCTGCACGGACCTCGCCAAGACGAGGCCCAACGAAGAGTTCCTCGTGTCCCGGGTCAACCCCTTGTTCGTCGACTCCAGCACAGAGGCCTCGCCGAGCAGCACCATCAAGAAATCCTCCGAGACCACGGCGGACGTGCACAATCCCCAAGACGGCGACGAACCGGACAATTCAACACTAGTGAAGAAACCTCCGGAGCCGCCGGATCCCCCTCCAACGCCGACGACCGCTTCGACGGCGACGCCGGACTCCGGTTCTATAGCGTCGACATCCACCAGGGCCGCCCATGAGCCGAAAGTGGAAGCGACGAAGAGGGAGACGCAACTAGAGCCGAGAGAATTGTCGCCGCATCGCCAAATCAGTCCTCAGCCGGAGTCCGTTGCGAAGCCGGAAGGGCAGTCTGATACGCAGAAAACGGACACTTGGAACTCAGACAGATCTTCCTCTCCGCGGCCGCTAGTGGAGCTGAGAGAGTGGCAGGAGAACGGCAAGAAGCAAGAGGACCACGTGCTCAACCGACTCCGGAACTCCGGCAGGGCGTCGATCATCACCAAGGAGAAGTTGAGTCTCGTTGAAAAAGTGATCGCCGAGCGGTTGGGTAAGAGGATTCCAGAACCGGGAATTCGAAGGACCATTGAACTTCTAAATAAGGACGCAGTCCCTGCGTCCCAGGAGGCGCAACCTACCAAGCAGCAAGAATACGTTCAACTGGACTCCGGAGCAGAAGTCAAAACAAATTTTAGAGCAGATAGCAAAGAAGACGTCAAGACTGAGGTCAAGACAGACTTGAAGAAAGACTTCAAGACAAACGTCGAAACAGACGTCAAGACAAACGTCGAAACAGACGTCAAGACAGTGGTGAAAGCAGACGTCCAAACAGAGTTGAAAGCAAACTCTCCTCCAGTAGCACCTCCCCTGCCTCCGGCTCCTGTCGTAGCACCGGTCTCCGTCTTAGACGGCAGTGTCCAGATAGAAGATATCCGGAAGCCTCAAGAATCCTCCTTCGAAGCGGATGCCGCGGATTCGAATCCCAAAGACGAGACCGCAGGGGCAGTGAGGATGCCCAAGCTAGAAGACGGAAGTACGCAGTCCGACTCTATGACAGACTCTTCGAACAAGAAACCCGAAGTCAAGGACAAGTCTTCCGGACCATCTACTTCTGAGGACAGCGGCATCACCCGAGGGGACCAGGTCTACTCCGATTCAGGAAAGCGCAAGGTTGCAACAAAGTCAGACTCTTCGGAGCAGAGCAGTACGGAATCGACGAAGGGTAAACGGCAGCGGAGGACCAAGAAAGAGGCCCTCCGTGAAAGTATGCGCAGGCGCCAGAAGTCAAACTATAAGTCGCGCTGCAGCGCCTGCAAAAACGTGCTCCCGAAGAAGGACCGACCTCCGCATCCCAGGGTCCACAAGCACAAGAGGTCCGCGGAGTCTGGCCTTGTGTCCGGTTCCGGATCTCTGTCGGACCTTGCGTTCGAATATCCGTACCTCAGCGACCCGTGTCCGGCGCACTGCAGGCACAAGAGATCCTCCATCACATGCATGGAGAGTTGCAGGGATTACCCCTGCGAGGATTTTTGTAATTCGGTCTACAGGTGGGTTGTATCTCAATCCTTATACAATGTAACTTTGCATCTTGTAAATAGGAATTGTAGCTTTCACATATCCCATTCGATTGAATGACATTTCAGCGATCAGCCAATCAGTGCGCGACACTCTGGCGTAGCGTATTCCGTGCGACAGATCGCGAGCTGATTCGCCGATCACACAAATATCATTCGATGGAACTGACATTAAATTGCCAGTCTGACAGGGGTTACACAGCTGGCGATGGCGAATGCATCCTTTAACGCTGCAGGTGAAACGGCTCTGTTTTCTTTACACGCCCTAACGGCAGCAACCGTACTAGCCGTGCTGCAGCTTCCATGCTCGTACTGTGCACACTAAAGTTATATCGTAGTGGCTCTTCGATGACACCAGGGACAGCAGCATTGGCTATGATCAACCTTAATCGGGTACGCGCGATGTTCCCAAGAGATTAAAATACAGCGGGACAGGGCAGGTAAAGCAACGTTAGTATACGGTAGGCTTTCGAACGCTATCGAGCAAGTTCTGAAGCAGTCTCGAAGCCATGGAAGCAGCACTGCCATTATTCATGGCCGTGACTACTTAATTACAGCACGCTCCAGTGACGGAAGATGCCGGTTTTGGGCACCTTCTTTTTTGTCGTATTCGGCAGGTATAAATGAGCTACGGTAACCATCAGCCGTGTATTGTTTTTATTTACCCTACAAGGTTCATATCTTCCTAACGAGCGGATACCTGCTATAAATACTGTGCGTGTGGCACGTGCGCGTCTTCACGAAATATAAAAAAAGATTACAACGAAAAACTATATTATAATAGAGAGTTTTAGTAGATCGTTCCGATACGTCCGATAGCCCCGATAATGATACTATGCATGCGCTAGGGAGACGGTGGCAGAGTATCGGGTATCATTATCGGAGTCATGGGAACGATCTACTAAAACTCTCTATTAAGGCTATGATACTCAGAAAGCCACTATTTCAGAACTAAAGCTAAATAGGTAGACGACTCGTCTTGAGAAGGAAACTACCAAGAAGCCTGAACAGCCGACTCTCTCTTGTTCAAACGTTGGCTGCCGTTCTCGCGCTACGTAGAGACACTTATGGAATCATTCCCTTTATCTAATGATACTTCACTTTTTTTATACTTGAACGATCTGGTGTAAGTAAAAGAGGGTTAGAAAATTTTCCTGACACAACAGATGAGTCAATGTTTTTTTTTCTTTATACATCTACGCGTTCCCACGAACCTTACGACAAACAGGGTTTGAAATGGCTAATACAGTTAATTTTTTTTTAATTGCGTTCACTCCCTTTACCATTTGAAGTACAAAACGATCGTGTAAATTAATATTTTATTTTCCTTACAGTGACGAGGTGATGGTACATCGCACGAATAATTCGCGTTCACGCGCTGCCGGCCAGAAGCAGCAGTTCCGCAGTCACTGCCCAAGCAACACAGATTTGGCCTATCATTGGCCAATGGCTGGAAGCGGTCCTTTGGCCAGAGGCCAGACAGTGGCCATCCATTGGCTGACGATTGTCCTTTCTTTGGTCATTGGCCATTGGCCATCAGCCAACTGCTAAGCATTGGCCGATGAATGGCCACTCTTTGCCTATTGGCCAGAAGACCATCGCCAGCCATTGCTTGGACAAATTCTGTGCTGCTTGGGTTCGTAGTTTAGTTAAGAAACACCTTTATGAACGCGACCTCCCGCAGCGGCGAGGACCATTTTTCTCCTATGAGCGACGCTGTGGTCGACCTGCCACGATTGGCCGAATGCTGACTATGACGTCAGCAAAGGATTTCTGATTGACGGAAATTAGAGTAATGTAAGAACTCCAACATTGGCGATGTTTTCAGTGTTGGTTTCAGAGCGCGATGATTGTTTGCCTTTATTGTTCGCAAAGGTAATGACGTCAGGAGAGGGAACCATAGGAGGGCGTCACAAAAACATCTAGCTCCTAATAGACCTATTACTCAATTACCCAAGCATCAAGGAGAATGCAGGGATTGGTGTTTCACGCGCCGCACGTGCTGGCCTCAGCAGTAGTAATTTTTCTAAAGCAAATGCCTAAAACGAATTGCATCTTGCACGCGCGTTCGTCAACACTATATATATTCTGGTTATTTACTTTGAATCTTTTATATGGGGAAGGCGTGCGCGTGTGGCTCGTGGAATACCAATCTCTGCATTATCCTTGATGCTTGGGTAATATAGCAATAGGTCTATAGCCACCGAAGGCCAGAGAGAGGCTGCATCGCGTCCTCACTGAGTGAAGACGAGTCTCGAACGATGCACCTTTCGCCCAATCTGTGTCGCGCGCTGTCCTCCGGCGTCCCTCGCTATTTACCGGCTGCCTCAAGCAGCAGCCAGGCTCTTCAAATCGACCGCTAAATTCGGTTGCTTAGCCTATCGAGATACGATTTTCCGCAGCGTTGCCCATAGGTGGCGCATTTTTTCTATAAAATTTGCAAATGGCAGCTTCTCAGCTGCCATAAGCCCCAGTAGTGGTTTATGGTCAGTGGACGCCTCAAACGAACGCCCCCAAGGATACTGCTTGAAACGTGTCCCTCCAAGCACCATAGCAAGCGCCTCCTTGTCAAGCTGGCTGTAGTTTCGCCCGGCAGCAACCAGGCTCCGCGACGCAAATGCGATAGGTCGCTCTTCTCCCGACGCCTTCCTCTGCGCAAGAACCGCACCGAGACCGTACGGAGATGCGTCCGTGACCAACCCAGTACTCTTCTTTGGATCGAAATGGGCCAACATTTCTGCTGAGGCCAGTAGGGACTTACTCTGGGAGGAAGCCTCCTCTTCAGATGACGTCCAGGTCCAAGGTGCGTCCGGAGCTAGCAGACGATTCAGCGGGTGTAGTGCTGCAGAAAGTCGGGGAATAAACTTGCGAGAAAAGTTAATAAGGCCCAGGTAGCTTTGGAGGCTTTTGACGTCCTGCGGTCTCGGAGCCAAAAGGAGAGCCTCGGCATTCTTAGGGCTGGAATGCTACCCTTTTCGCGTAATAATATGCCCTAAATACTCTACAGGGTCCTTCATGAACTCGCACTTGGCTAGCTTCAAACGACGGCCTGCCTCCTGAAGGTGCCCGAGGACCCGGCACACATTCTTCTAGTTATCTTCGTCATTAGCGCCGGTCTCAAGAATGTTGTCGAAATAGACCGCAACGTGCGGCAGATCGCCCAGGAGATTGTCCATTTCCCGCTGGAACAAAGCAGGGGCCGACACCACGCCAAATGGAAGCCTTGTAATCGTGAACAGGCCTTTCAGAGTGCTGATCGTGACCAATTCTTATGACTGTGCGTTCAGCTGAACTTGTTGATGCGCGTCCTTTAAGTCAAGCTTGGTGAACTTCACCCCGTTGCTCAGTTTCGCGAACAGTCCATAAATCTTAGGAATCGGATAGCTTTCGCTGACCATCGCTGGATTGATGGTGATCTTGAAGTCGCCACAAAGGTGTACGCGGCCATCTTGCTTGACCACAGGAACTACGGGTGCAGCCTACTGGGACGTCTTGACGGGGCGTATGATGCCTTCGCGCTACATACGCTGCAGTTCCTCTACTACTCTGTCTCGAAGTGTGAATGGCACTGGCCGTGCTTTAAAAAAATTCGGTCTTGACCCTCCCTTCAGTATGATCTTCTCCAACACACCCTGCATTGTTCCAAGCTTTTCTGAAAAAACTTCGCTAAATTGTTCGACTAGGCTTTCGACGGAACTGACCGCATTCACTTCCTCAGGCTTCGAGATAGTAATCTTGAATGCTTTCATCCAGTCTCTGCCCAGAAGTATCGGACAAGTCCCCTTCACCACAAACAACGGCAGTGTCGATTCACGTGTTCCCACCTTGGCTGCTGCAGTAATCTTCCCCAGAACCGATGAGAGCTCTCCCGAATAACTCTTCAGTCTCACTTCGGAGTGTTCAAACGGCGTTCCAGGAAACAGTGCATTGAACTTTTTCTCACCGATGGTGGAAACGCTGGCTCTGGTGTCCAGCTCCATGACTAGTGGCACGTCGTTCACGATGGCTTTAATCTGCACCCGGGTCCTGTTGTTCGCAGCGACCACATGGCGCACTCGTCTACATCACGCTGTGTTTCCTGGAGGTCGTTCATTTGGTGCACAGAACAAGAGTCTATCCGATTCTTTGGGCCTGTCGGTGCCGCTCTGCAGGCCCTTGCAATGTACCCCTGACATTAAACACTTGAAACAGGTGCTTGCCCGGTGGCGACACAGGAACGTTTGATGTTTATATCCACACCGATCACAGCCACGCTCAGCTGCGTTAGCCGCATTCCGTCTGGGCGGCTCCACAAAGTTGGTGGGCTCCACTGCGCCCACTGACGCAGCCTGAGGACAGAGGGTCTGGGCGTCTTTTCTTGCGGCTTCCATTGCAATGACCAGTTGCTTGGCAGACTCCAGGTTCAGGTTTGTCGATTCCAATAACCGTGTCCACATTCCCGTGTCGTGAATACCGGACACTATATGGTCCCTCATCATGCGGTCGCGCGTAGTGCCGAAGTTGCAGTCATCTACCAACTTGTTTAGCGCCGCTACATAGTCACTGACAACCTCGCCTTCGTGCCGTCGCCTTGAGAAGAATTTGAAGCTTGCTACAGCTTCCGATACCCTGGGCTTGAAATGGACATTGAGCGCTGCGAAGATTTCGGTGAGCGTCGCCTCCCCTGGTTTCGTTGGCGCGAGTAGACTTTGTAGGCAATGAGTATGTTGCTGTCCCGCAGCTTGACAGAAATACGGCCGATTTCTTTTCCTAGGCAACATCATTGGCCAGGAAGTACAGGAGAACACGCACCTGGTATTCCGCAAACTCAGTTGTACAGGGTGTCACAAAAGAAAATTTACACGGTCTTTTTTACCGCAAAAAGAAACTAGGCATCGCCAAACGCTCATTCTCCATCCAAAGGTAGAGCTAAAGGTCACAACCAGATGCCAAAGTTTCAGCCCGATCTGATAACGTAATCAAAAGTTGTTAGT